TTGTGCTTTTGTGCCCTATGCGTACCTAGAGGGGTGTTTAAACGGATTTTAGCTTTTCCATCTAGATGTTCTTTTATGCGTACACAAAGTGGTCTACCCGTTTCCCCGATATATTCCTCGCCGCATGCATTACATGAGATCAAGTATATTATACCTAAACTCATGCAATTAAAAAGTGCTTAAGAAAAAGTGGTCTTGAAAATTATGCAACGATTATTGACATCCCACCCAGTACCCTACGCCGCCAGTTAGTTCGAAACCGTCTCTATGATCGTTTGTGCAGCTAAGAAAACTGTACGATCTGTCCTAACGGGAGAGACGGGGATCGCATGAGTTTAGGTATAATATACTTGATCTCATGTAATGCATGCGGCGAGGAATATATCGGGGAAACGGGTAGACCACTTTGTGTACGCATAAAAGAACATCTAGATGGAAAAGCTAAAATCCGTTTAAACACCCCTCTAGGTACGCATAGGGCACAAAAGCACAACAGCGATGATTTTGAAGTGAATATGCGGATCCTAGCGCGGGAATCAAAAACATCAACGCGAAAAATTCTTGAGACGTTTTGGATAAATTTCAAAAATCCAGAGATGAACCAGCCGGAAGGACGAATGTCTCACTATCACGCGTGACCTGGTGCCCTATTTCAAAATGATATTTTAACCCTGGGACGTGTCTTGCTCGCGACTCCACGTGAACTACGTGTGGGCCAGTCCCGCACGTAACATCACGGTGAGTGGCCTTTCTGTTCAATATAGCGTCTGTTTGAAAGTTTGATCTTCATTAATACTTTAACCTTCTTTTCCACCGAATAATAAAAAGTATTCTAACATAAAGTACGTCCAGGCTCTGAGGAAGACGAAGTCGCCGAAACGTCAGCCATCGATCAATAACATCAAAAACAACAACAACGAAACGAAGATCTGTACCAACATCGCGTCAGCTTAAGAAGATCAGTTCATAAGATCACATAAATATATCAACTAAACCAAATATTTGCCTGCTGCAAGGACCTCACCATTTTCTTTCCATTCTTAAAGAATGAGATCACTCCTACATGGTGCACACATGCGAAACATGAACTATATGTCAACCACACATGGGTGGTCTCGCTCTTTAGTTACTTACATGATACTTCAACGGTCTGTCCTCATTAGTTGTGTGGGTACCAGCATAATCAACATTTTTCGGAGATTTGCTGGTTAAGCCATTGTGGTTCCTTGGAATCCTGAGGACAGCTTGGCCAAAGTCTGCACCAGGTCGTCACCACGACAGGCAGACGCAACCATTGTGGATCAGAGGAAGATTTGCCACCATGCGACTTTAATACCAGGACGGTGGTGGATCCTGGAATTGGTTTACTCCTAGCCAGGCTTCCTGATGGAAACGCCGGACTCCTTAGCTTGGGAGACCCTGCCGGGAGGACGAATCCTTCCGCTGCACATCGCAGTCCTACACACAAGAACACCTCCCACCCACGATGAGGCGGTAAACCGTTGGGAGGGGTCTCACCCTTTAAGAATAAGAAAAACAGTTAGTCCTTTTGTGTTTTTGTTTTGTTTGTAAATTAGACTCCTATTGTCCTATTGAGATTAGGGAATGTTGACCAAGTAATCGTATATTCGTTTGATCGTATAAGTCTGCTAACGTTGAGGTTAATCAGAAGTAACTGTTTTAAATTATGTCTTCCAATATTGAAAAGAGTTCTAGCAGAAATCAACACCATGTACGCCAAGGTCACGACGTTTACCTTCTGAAGTTTTCTGTGCAAAATAAAGTTATGGATGTACTTTATATTATGTATTGTTATAGATATATTATAGATATAAATTTATGGGAAGGATATATATATAGATGTCTGTATATATAGGAATACATGAAAGGTTTAAAAAAATGTCCAAATATGTGCCAGAGTTTAGGAGAGAGTCATAAATTAAACCACGGCAACAGCAATGAGGACTTCCATGGAGGTGGTGGACAGGTGCATGGTCGCGGTCATAAACATGGACAAGGACATGGACGTATGAAATAAGTGTCACCTGGAATAATATCAATAAGTAATACAATAATGCGACAATAATGTAATAAGAAGTGTATATATAAAGCAATTGTGCACAACAATGAGAACTACACTGAAGAGACGGGAAAAAACGTGTGAGAATATTTCATTACCTTCCTCGATTATTAAACAAACATGAGGTTGGTAAAAAGTTCTATTCGACTAGCGGTTCGACGTCTTCGTCTTCTTCACAACCGGATTGACCCGAGTGAATGATCCAGAGGTGCTTGGGTTGTCTTTGCAATTTGGTTGTTCAATGTCGCATAGAGTGAAATCCAGGTCGGAGTTGAGCACCGATCGAATGAAGTATCTCAGTCGGCGGTGCCTTTTTATACAGGACGGATGCTCATCTATTGCCATAATCCAATTTGATCTATTGTTTTGGCGGGAATGCACCCTGCAGCAATCAGTATTATATTGGCTAGTACATTGCTGAAGGGCTCATGTAGAAAAGTGGTTGGAGGCGCCACTGCGACGCACACGTGGGATCGATCCCCGCGCCCATGACACACGAAGCCTTCCATCCCTCCGGGATCGGCAAACTGGTACGAGACTTGTCTGGAAGGGTAGCAGCACTGGCTCGATACATTGGTAGGCCACAGCGAGTCATTGTAAAGGCCAGATATGCATTCAGTCACCACCAAATGATGCTTAATAAAGTCGAATACATGGCGCATCCCTCACTTATTGACCAACGCCGAGAGCTCTCTCTTTTTATCCTTTAGCACATCGCCAATAGAAATAGTTAAAATATTTCACACGCAAAGTCGCCAAGGATTCCAATGTACAGGAAATTGATGGTGTTCCGCACGTCCTTAGGAACGTCTTATTGAAAATTGTGCTGTTTTTTCGTTTAGAAAATGAAAATCACCAGGTATAGAAAAATGTGAAACATTTTAACTGTTCCCAAATAATTCCTATTTTCTATATTAGCGTATGTTTCCTTTTCATCGATAACTGTCTTATATCTGTCTTTGCATCTTCTCTAAACTGTCTCTTATCGACCATCTCATGCAGTTGTCTCGCAGCCGGCTTGAAAGGGATTCTCTAACTGCTTTGCATAAATCGCTCTCCTTTGTCCGATAGTTCGGTCTCTAAATGAGCAGCTGTCAGCTGAATGTACTTTCCAGCACCTGCCGTTCCAATGAACTTTCCGTAGGAGCAGCTCACCCTTTCACATGTAGCTGCACCAGATTGTACTAGTTGAAAAACCTTTAGAACCTCTCTCTAGACGCTGTCTCTGGTTCCCTCTGGCAAAACTCCACCCATTATAGAAGGAATATAAGCAGCCCATCAGTTAGCTTACTTCGTGTTCGGAGTGTTCGTCCACTGTTTATCCAGTTCGTTCATCTCGTCCATATACTTCGCTCTAGTGTTATTGCTATTTTTGCTACTATAGTTATAAAGTTGTAACCAAGTGTCTCAAGGCGTTCGACTCAGCGACATACACACAAAGACCCGCGTGGCAGCTACATGGACCAATATTCCCAACGACTTGGTTATTCATATAAAGTTGTGAGCTCAACGCCGCAGCAAACACCTTTGCAACGAAGCTAGGCTTTCATCAAATGACGATAATTTCCCGATCAGTAAAACTATCTCATCAGTTTAGAATTTCATAGATTCATAGAAGAGACTTCGCTCTATTGTATTAGTCTTATGCTTTAGAACCAAGATTTTCAAAGAATTTAAAAGGTAGTATAAAAATTTTAAAATCCCCGATAGATGAGTGACAGCTGCAGCTATAAACGAACGAATCATTGAGGAGCACCACTGTATAATGCTTGATGAAGTGCTGTTTGTCCACTTCCTTTCATCTTCGAAAGATGAGCCTCGAAAGAAAAAATGGAAGATTTCATTGGATCCGAAGAATCAGAATTTCATCGTATTAAGACAAGAGCACTACTGTTCTTCAGACAAACATTCCTAAATTCTAACCTCTTTTATGTCAGTTGATAAAATTCACTATGAGCTGAGTTATGTCCATTCAAATTTGGAAGCGGCTACCACTTTCAAATCGTATAACTCCCATAGAGGTTGCATTACCACTTAAGGGTTAAAAAACCCCAGGTTAATTACCAATGGTTCGGTTTTTGCTAAAGGAATTCAAGGGTCGAATGAGATAATGGCTCTTCTGACAAATCCACCAATGTGCTAGTTAGAACACTTTGTTGGAGATTTTCTGGAACTTTTCAAAGGTAACGTTTAAGAGCTCGATGTTCTTCTTAGTTATTGCTCACGGAACAATTCTTGGAAAACTTCCTGATTGCTCTTTCCCCAGCTCTACACCGCCTGCCTCATCATGGCCGGTGCATTTCGCTGAATGTTGAACTGTGATATGTAGCTGCGGTCTCTCAGTAGAGTCTCCAAGCTGAGGATAGTTCGACATTTCACTTCGAGACCTCAGGGAACTGCAAAGCTATATGAGCATCCTGTGAGTAATCCGTAGCTAAATTACCTCCTAGAACAGCACGGAAAGGAATCATAGAAAGGCATCGAAATGCAGTATCTTTTAGTGTCCATCGGGTAAGAGGCGTTCATTAAGCAGTTCTCATACGCTCTACGAGGATGAACGGAGTTCACTCGTACTCAGTTATTAACGATATCACAAGCAATGTAGACGATTTCTTGTTGTAAATTCTTTGCCACAAGCATGAATGCCTGCGCTCCCATAGTTGCAATAACATATGTGCGGGCAAGACGGTTTGTTCTATCTGGATTTCCTGCTTTATAAACTTCGTCATTCGACTACTACAAACGTACTTCACCTCTATTGTATAATCCCAGTTCTTATACGCGACTATTAATGAAAGGCTAGTTCGATTAGGAATCAAAGGCACTACCTCGCCCCAACGCTCTCCTCGAATCCACGTGGAGAGCCTCAACCCGGCTACTTCTAAGATAGCAAGGAGGATGGACTCGACCAGCATTCTACAACATTGACAAAAAAGTCGAAATTCTCCAGCAGGAGCCGAAACAACACGTTGAAAGTTCGAAGACCACTGTAGGTTTGGAGGCGAAGAAAACAAATTGAATGCGAGAAGTGCTGTGATCCGCACAGTAAATATGTTGATGGGTCATTTAGAATAAAGAACAACGAAAATAATTAATGAAATGCTACAGCGCATTCCAACGTCTTGCAAGAGAAGTGGGAGCAAAAGATTCCCTACTGAAATCGTTATCACGTTAGCTAACACCTTCAGTATACCGTATTCTATAGACATGGTTGCTACGCCAGATCCTACGGGTCTACATAGAAAGAACGTTCAGTTTCCCAAAAAAATTGTTAATTTCGTGATAAGTGTAAAGTAAAAACCAGGGTGTTAGTTGTTGCCATATAGGCGATGTAGTTATGATTTTCACTGCATTCTCGGTTTTGACAGATCACTCTACCGCAGGAACACAATACTTTATACTGCAGAAATGGGAACAATAAATCAGGATTTGATAAGCAGTCCTAGTACAAAGCGCAATAATATTTAGCTTATAGCTTGTCAAACAAAGAATACATATTGATTTGTCATATAGAAGTTAAAGGAAAGTCGGTCTTGAAATATTGTTACGCTTTGTACTAGCTGATAATGATACCGACTTCTACAGGATGAACTGTCTGGCAAAAACAAGTGGTTATCACCGGGCAATCACCGTTATCGATAAGAACCATCCTGTATGTAAAGGGGCAGTGCCGAGTGAGAATGGCTCATTCGAAAGAGATGCTCCACTGAGGGAGACTCGACTCGATGTGCAAAGAAGACGCCACCTCGAGAACATGAACAACTGTGGACCATCAACTCGGACCATGGGCTCTGATGAAGATGATGACGTAGAAACGTTAGCTGAAAATTGTCATTTATCATTTATCATTTATCTTGTCATTTATCAAGCTCGTTCGAGCTTATTAAAGAAAGAATACATGGAAGTTCCAGTATTTTTCTTCACCTATACCCAGAGACATAACGGGGACGACTTCGAAGTATGTGTCACGATCCTCGCACGCGAATCAAGAACACAGGCGCGAAGAACTCTCGAAGCACTCTGGATTAATTCCAGAAATCCGAAAATGAACCGCAGGGAAGAATGCCTCATTATCACGCGTGATATGCGGCAGTATATAAGCCTGTTATTCTGATGGGAGTGGCACATTACCCTTCGAGGTGAATTCTGTGTGGTTGGTATCCACCCGACATACTCAGTGGAAGACTCATAGAAAGCGGTGAGTGTGTAAAGAAGCTATTCTGCGTTCAAAGTGATTGAAATCTTGGTTTAGCGTTTTCTCTGTTTGGTTATGGAGGTGTTTGGCCGAATAGATTGCTGCCAACTTGACCCTTCCAGGCTCTGAGGAAGGCGAAATTCGCCGACACATCAGCTTATTCGTGAATAAAGAATAGAAGTAACACCTCGCGTTTGCTTAACAAGAATACGAAGAATAGAATATGAGATATGATGAGGTTTACACGCCACTTGTAGACGACTTTTCTAAGTATCCAAGTATGCGGTAATCTTTTACAATAGGAGTAAATTGTAAACAATTTACCAGGTACAGAATTTCTGATTTCGAACTATTGAATTTTGTGGCTAAGCCAATAAGTAACTACACACCACGACAACTATGACACTCTTACTTTGTACGGTACTCTTACTTTGTTTTTTTTTTCTTTTCAACGACTCGTCTTTCACGTCTACTCTGCGGATCACAGCAGTTCTCTCATTCGAGTGGCTTCCTCGCATCCATCATCCACGAAGGACTTCAAGGTTTTGCTTGTGGTATTAGCTGCTGTTTGAGGATCTCCTATCCGTCATGAATGTCGATGAATGCTAGTCGAGACCATTCTCCCCCGAGCTCTAAGATACCTAGAGGGTTCTCAGTTGAACTACAGAAAATGGAACTTCCCTAGACAAATGGAGCATCAAGTTTCAGACCCCGTAGGATCATAGACTTGGTGTACCCTGGATCGAGTCGAACCAATACGGCTCTTGCAGTAATCCGCATCACAAACGGTGCAATTCTTACCCCCTAACTGTCACTGTTGCTTTATCGAGGCGAAAACTCATTTAAACCCTATGAGGTAAACCCTATGAGGTGTACTTCGATATACAAGTAACCTTATCAAAATAACATGTTTGAAGAAGTCAGAAGGTATACCACCAACTGAGGATGTCTTACACATGAATGCCAGGCTTGTCAAGTGCGTTTTCCACGCTCTTGCATCACGAATAATATCAATAATTCGCTGTTCTCTCGATGGACACACACGGTGTTGCTATTTACCTCTTATTCAGGAAAGAAGCTGACGTTTCGGAAGATTTCGCCTACCTCGGAGCATAGAAAGGTCAAGTTGACTACCTGACTGATGGCAAGGAATATCGTTCTCTTGTGTAGCATCCCGGTACCGACGGTCGAGCATCGGTTTCAGAAGACTTTTTACCGCAGACTTGACATCCTATGTAACCACGTGCTAACGACCCTTATCCAGCAATCCTTTTTTCTCTTCTGATTATCAACGGGGCATGTAGAGCAGCGCTCTACAGTACACACTAAATCGCCCTTTGGTTCGATTTCTCGTCCAGTTATCACCAAGGTCTTCATCTCTTCGGGAATGACAAATTGGTACTAGGTTTTTGCCTGAGAATATAACAACAATGATCTGAAACGTCGCTGGTACACCGCAAGTCATTATGCAGGCCAGATATGTAGTCAGCCACCTCTACAACGCAACGAGTGGAATCCAATGCATGGCACGCTCTTTGAGGTGCTGATCAATGCTGGAGGTTTTGCTCTTTCCCTTATCTATCAAATATCTTATCCTTCTGATTTTCAACATACTGGGCTATGCGGAAACTCCCTTTCATCTCCGATCTCAGTAAATGGATCATAGAATCATCTCCCTTAGTTGTATGACTTCACGCAAACAAACCTACGTGCAAGTATATGGAAAACACAATGTTCACTTTTTACCTAGTGCGTAATGTTGTTTTCGGGACAGACTATATATGATATGAAATACAACCGCAATGATGCTGAGATATTTGCAAAATTTGGACACCAAGCCGGATCAAACTCGAGGTTGCCCTTCCCGCGAGCTCACGTGTTATCCACTGCACCACGCCCCTGCTATACCTTTCTCTCAAATGTCTTTTTGCAAATATCTCAGCACTATAGCAATATGAGCATAATAAGCGTGTGCTCTTAATCCATTAATACTTTTAGAAACTACACCTCTCTTCCTACTTACGCGCTCTAATTCAATGTACTAACGACCCTTTAAATGAGATGAGGTGGCTACTTGCGCGAGCGGTGATTTCCTCATAGTTTAAGCTTTTACCGATTTAAGGACTGGAACACACGGTTTCTACACGGATTTCCTTTCTGTGGTTCGCTTTTTATGAAACATTTCGGCTTGTTCTGTATAACTTTACGAGAAATTGCGTGGTTCGTTTATTCTTATGGGGTTTGCAAATATTTACGCGGTGGCAACGTCCATCATTCCAAGACTAAGTCGAAGTAATCCTGTTGCTATAAATCTGGACACATTGGACTTAAGTGGAGTTCCGTTCGTCCACTGATTTCTGTCCACTTCTACTTGAAGAAACGAATGCATATAAACCTACGTTGTCTCGTAGCTGTATAGCTTCATCGACAATATTTTCATTACAATTCATGCACTTATGACTGCAATATAACTACGTACATGGTGTATCTATTTATGTGATCTTATAAACTGATCTTCTTAAGCAGACGCGAGGTTGGTACAAAAAAAGAACAACAACGACAACGAAGATCTGTACCAACCTCGCGTCTGCTTAAGCAGATCCGTTTATAAGATCACATAAATAAATATATCAACTATCTATGCCGATGTTTATAGAAAGTCGGTCTTTCGAGTTACGTACATGGTATTTACATAAGTACCCGTTCCCACAAATGGATGGAATACTTGGGTTGCCCGTCCTCAATGGTTGTGTGGGCCCCAGCACAATCTCCATTTCTCGGAGTTTTGCTGGTTTAGCCACTGTGGTTCCCTCGAGTCCCGAGGTCAGACTAGCCAAAGTCTTTTCCAGGTATTTACCACCACGGGTAGTCGCATCCCTTGTGGATCAGAGAGAGATTTGCCACCGTGCGACTAGTTTGATACCAAGACAGTGGTGGATCCTGGTATTGGTTTACTCTTAGCTAGCTTTCTGATGGAAACGCCGGACTCCTCAGCTTGGGAGACGCTGCTGGAGGGACGAATCCCCCCGTTGTACATCGCAACCCAACACCCAGGAACACCTAGCCATGATGAGGCGGTAAACAGTTGGCAAGTGTTACAAATACAGAAGCCATAATCCAATATTCCCTTACTTTGATTAGTATTTCGTCTTATATGCTTTTTAGTTCGGATGTGGTTTGAGCAGTTCTATTCTGGAGTCATAACAATCGCTTTTGTGGCTGGTGCTCTCTATATGAGTTATCCGTTTAACATATGGGACGTTGGTCGACCATATAGGAGGGATTACTGCACGCCAGCAAGGTACGTTGCACTTTAAGATAATTCCATCTTCTTTTGCTTTAAGCTTTTCGTCGCTAACTTCATACTACTCAATGTTTGTTTTTCAAGTACACTGTTGTTGAGTGCTAGAAGTGATGTAACTTTGTTGTAGTCTCCATGATAACACGATGTGGTAAACATTTAGCACAGTTTTTAATAACGTTAAAAACGGCAGGAAATTTATCCCTGTAGTCCCTTTTTGTCATGCGTGTAACGCAGTGGTCTGAGTCACCCATGCAACACACACGGGATCGATCCCGTCTCTGCAGGGTCACCAATCCTTCCATCCCTCTAGGGTCGGCAAATTGGTACCAGACTTCTCTCGGAGGATTGCAGCACAGGCTTTATACATCGGTGGACCACCGCGAGTCATTGTAAAGGCCAAATATGCATTCAGTCAACTCTATGACTTTCTATCTCACTTGAATCAAAGGCCTTCTGTAAATCGACGAGTGAGACAGTGGTGTTTGATGAAGTCGAATGCTTGGCGCATCCCTCAGGAATTGATCAACGCCGAGAGCTTTATCCTTTTTTGTGTACGAACGAAATCCTGCGCAAGGTGTCTTCGTTCTGCACAACTCTTATTGATTTAACACCATTAGAAATGTGCTTGAGAAATTCAAGCTGTACAAGAAAAGACGGATGTTAGGCTAGTTAATTTTAATATTGTAGTATTTTTAATTAGTTTTTACTATTTGTTTGATACCTTTAAGCTAGTCTTTTTATGTCCTGTCATCAGAAATGAATACCTGTATCCTTATCGAATGGTGAAATCTTGGTTGCGAAATTTTTGTACAGCTCACGAGGAATCTTTGTGTACTGAGTAGCGGCTCCTTGACTGTCAAAGGCTTCTATGACTTTCTATCTCACTTGAATCAAAGGCCTTCTGTAAATCGACGAGTGAGACAGAGCAGTCTTTTGTACTCTCTCGATATTTCAATGAGTCTTGTTACCGTGTGGATGTGGTCCATCGTACTAAATCCTTCTCGAAACCCTGCTTGTTCACATGGCTGTCTTTCGTCCAGTGCTCTGTCAATCCTGTTTAGGATGACTCGAGTGAAAAGTTTGTAGACGACAGGCAGCATGCAGATTGACTGATAGTTGCCAATATCGTGTAGGTCGCCCTTCTTGAAGAATAACGTGGTGTTGCTGGTCTTGCACTGAGTAGGGACCTTGCATTTGGACAGGTAACGTGTGAAGAGCCGCGCCAGTGAGTTTACGAGGACCGGCGAAATGTTCTTCAGGTGTTCTGGTCTAACCCTGTCCGGACCTGGTGCTGTTCGATTTTTCACCGACGAAATGGTATGTCGCATTTCGGAAGGGAGAACCGGTGGTGCAACATATCCATCCTCCTTTATTTCATATGACGAGAGGTGGACGCGCCTATCGAAGAGATTTGAGCAGTATTTGTGAATGATTTTTTCCATTGCCTTTCTGGACCCTGTAACTGTTCCATCTGGGCGTCGGAGTGCAATCATCTTGGTCTTGTAATTGGCGAAGCTTCGGTGGGCTTTGCGAATGCTTTTCCCAGCCTCTGCAGCTTCGACCATTACTGCTGCTCTTCTCTCTTTAAGATCTTCTTTTATCGCCTATCTGCATTGTTTTGCAAGTTAGGACTTTAGTTCGCGGTTGCCTGCACCTCGTGCGATTCCACGCTGGCGTATGAGCTTGCGTGTTTCTGGAGACAGACGTCTCTTGGTGACTTTCGAACTCTCAGCTTTTATAGGGCTAACGTGAAGAAATTGATTGAGCAGATCGTATTCTTCGTCGATGTTATCGACAACGGCGTCTTCCCAACAGCCGAGTAATGAATTGAATAGGTCCCAGTTTACGGTGGCTTTAGGACATCGGTTTTTGAATTTAGCGGCTTTTTCTCTTTTTCGCGAGAAATAGAATCTTTCATGAAGGAGACGGTGGTCTGATCCCATGTAGAATTTTGGGACAACAGCGACATTGGTTAGGCAAAATCTTCTATTTACTTATGATGTGGTCTAATTCGTCATGGTGCTCTCCATTGGGAAACTCCCACATCTAGCGCTGAGGGTGAGGCTTCGGGAATTGCATGTTACCATGGATGGTCTCGGTCGCCATGTTAAACTCAGGTAGCCGCTCACCCTGTTCGTTCCATTCTTATCCCTGGGTCTAAATGTGACGTTCTTCAGTCGTTCTTCTTGGTCCAACTTTGGCGTTGAAATCTCCAATGATGACCTTGGAGAATACATGGTCTTCTCTATAGAACTTCTCCAAGTCCATATAGAACGCTTCGACTTCGTCATAGTTTGAGTCGGCACGTAAACGGCGAAGATTGTCAAAGCCGGAATTGATCCACATCTTTTAAATCGTAAACGTCCGACTCGGGTTGTAAGTTGTTCGAATGAATCGATGTTCATGGACAAACTCGTGTTAACGAGAACGTCATCGCCGCCGACTCCTCTCTACTGTCGCATGCTCCGAGGAACAGTTCTTCTCCGGTGCCATAGACGGCGTTGAATGGGTGGCGTCGTCTCGTCTCGGCCAGGCCAATGACGTCGTACCTTTTCCTTCTTGCTTGCATGAGCAAGTCGTCTATCGAGGATCCCGATGCAAGCGTGCGTGCATATAAGTTGGTTTGAAAGCCGTTTTACTGTTTAAAGATCCGTTGCGGGTTTATATTGTATAAATCTGAGTGATGATAAAAACACCTGTGTTAATGTTCTTGTTCCCAAAACCGACTTTCTGTTAACCTCGGCATTTATTGATAATTCAATGTTTTTCATCAATAAGCAGACACGAGGTTGTTAATATAGAATTTATTAGAACACAATTGCTGACGTTTCGGCGGTTTCGCCTTCTTCAGAGCCTGGAAAGGTCAAATTGAGATGTGATCTACTCAGCCAAACACTTTCACAACCCCAGCAGATAAAACTTGACAATTCGATTTGCATTCGCATAAGAAACAGCTTCATTCAAACACTGATTTGAGAGTGATAGAAATACCACCGGACACTCTAAGACGCCAGCTAGTTCGCAACCGCCTGTAC